ACAATGTATTAATTTTAGTTAGTTGGTTATGTATTTTTTAAATAAAAAAAAAATTTTGAATTTACTTACTTGTAGCCGGAGTTAGAGGCAGTCAGATACTTATGACCGCTACTGTATATTAGTGATTATTAGTGATGCAAAAGTAGGCCTTAATACTGTATATCTCTCATTTTGAAAATGTTGTTATTATAACAATCATAATGAAGATTTTAACACTTTTGACTATATTTTAAAAATAAAACTTTATTTAAATCTCTAACTGTAAGCTTATCATACTTTTAAAATAATAAATTTTAATTTATACTTTGAAATCTGAGTTTCCTGATGAAATCAATAATTTCTTGAACTTCTTATATATGTTTTGGCAAAATGAGCGAATTTATTTAACTTCTTTTTTATTAATATTATTAAAGATATTATTCTGACTACCTTTTCTACTATCCTTATTTTATTTACCAAATCATCTACTTCTATTTTTTTCATTCTCTCTTTCTTTTTTGATTTATTTTTGATTAAACTTATCATAATATATAGAAAACTAGATGTGAATTGATAATTAATAAAGAAAAACTCTTCATATAACCAAATATTAGAAAAAAAGCAATTTTGCATTCTTTAATATAATTTTCTCAATTAATAGCTTTTTTAATATTTCATTTACTCATAATATTGATACCTTAAATTATATTTTCTTATTAAATAATTCTTACAAATATGATCACTATTGATCTTTTTTTAAAGCAGTGATAACTAATTATTTTAATTTTTTTTCTTTACAATTCTGGCAGAAAAAAATGACAATTACAAATTGGCAAATATTTTGCCTGGTTTTTATTAAAAAATTTAATATTTTAAAATTAAATCCCACAAATATACATAATAAAAATATAAAATCCTAAAAATTTATTATGTAATCTTAGCTTTCTACTGCTATTCCTATATGCTTTAGTATAGACCTTACAAGATTAATACATAAGTTTACATTGATTGCCTCCTATTCTTTTCTTATAAATCTTATAAAAATGTCTTGTATTACTGATTTTTTTAATGATTATAATATTAATCTTCTTCTTAATATTTCTTTTCATTATTGCCTATAGATTTTTAATTGGATTAAGGTCTGAAAAAAAAAATAGTTAATTGAGAACTCGAGAACAATAATCCTGAAGTAAAGTGATTGTAAGCTTAACTTAATACTTAAAATTGTTATCCTGTTGAAATGTTCACTTGTTTTGAAAGATCTAAGATGCTTATTCAAACAAATTTTTAGTAATAATCTTCTAGTAAAGCTTATCATTCATGTTCTCTGTGAACATATGAAATCTGATAATTCCTTTTACACAAAACGCATTCTATATATAAACTTTAAAGGGTGTTTTATCACAACTCATCTCAACATTATTTTTCTAATTTTGTAATGAACTAGCGTCATATTATGAAATATCTGAAATATCAATTTATTAGAAAATATGACATTATTTTAACATTCTTCTTAATGAGCTTTCGTTCAAGTAATATGATGATTTATAGTATTTTGGATAAGAAAAGGAACTGAACGAGAAATATAAATTTTATACCTAAGGTCTTAAAGGTTTTCTTTAACTGTCTGAGATATAATATCAAGATTAAGATATTTTTTTTAGGTTTTCAGTTATTTTATTACTTAACATACATTTGCATGATTTCACAATTTAATTAAGATAGCAATGCTGAAAAGGAAAAAAATGTTTTGGACGTCTTGAATGATTTCTTTACTTAAGGTTGTTTATTTTTTTGAGTTGTTTGACCTATCTGTATAATGTTTTTAATAGATATCTGATAGCTTTTTGAAGATTTGCAACTTTATGAATGCTACCTTTCTATAAAGCTTTAATACATTGACGATGCTCTTTTAGTAAACTATTACATGATGCTTGTGATTGCCAGGCTGCAGATATTTATTAAAATATGATGTAAATAATTTGTTTACATCATAATTTATGTTATTGTTTATGATCAACTCTAAAATCTAAAAAAAACTATCAGTTTTTTTCATCAGAACTGTATATAATTAGTAATGATAATTACTCAGTAAATCTTTATGATTAGAATCAGATAGAATAACTGATTGGTCTAGTAGAAGTTAGTGTTATTAGTAAAGAATATTTTGCAATAGTTTTTATTTTCTACTTTTATACTTGTTTTGAGTTTTTTATGTATTTATTTATTGGAAGTGTTTTTTTAATAAAATGTTGCATTATTACGTTTTTAAAAAAAATAATTACAAAAACATAAAATTTAGTTTATTGAATTTATCATATAAAGACTTATTAAATGGTAGTATTTTATATTTCTGAGATTGATAATAACAAGATATATAAGTTTAAAATTTTAATTTTTTTTATAATAATTTATTATTTAAAAAATCACTAGTTAATTACATTTTTTTTTTTTGGATTATTACTTAGAAAATATTATAAATATATTATAAAAAGTATTAATTTTTTTAATAATATATTTTAAAATATTTAAAAATAATTAAAACGAATTGTAATTAATAATAAAATTTGCCTATAAATTTGTATGCAAAATAATTGAAGGAATAATAACTATCTTTATAAATAAATAATATTTTTTGGTCTATATAAATATTTTATTATAATATAATAAATTAATTTTTTATAATAATTATATAGTTGAAGAAAATATATTAAAATTTACTAAAAATTTTAAACTATTGATATTAGCAAAGTAAATATTAATTATTATTATTTACTTATTAATTCTTTTTTAAATATTTTATCAAATTTTGATTTTTGATGAAATTTTTTATAATTTTGAGTTTTAATAGTTTAATTAATAAGAATTTATTATAATTTTACTAGTAATTTCATTAAATTTTATTAAATAACTATATATTATTAATATACAAAAATTATATTGATATTTAGAATTTAAATTATTAAATCTTATTATCTTTTAATAAAATAAACTTTATATAAATATAAATGATAATTAAGAATTTTTTATATAAATTCTATAATAAAATTCTATAATGCTACTTTATTTTTTAATATTAATTAATAATAATATGTAATGTTTTTTTAAAAAGGTTTTTTTTTTTTATATTTTATATTATTATTCTATTAATATTTGTTTTTATTTTTTAATGCAAAAGTTAACATCCAGTTTTTTTTTTAAACCAATCTTCTAATGTAATAAATCCATTTAATTTCTTGATAATCTACATTTATAATAAATATTTTGTAATTAACATTCAAATCTTAATATGATTATTAGAACAATTTAAAACATGGTTCTTACCATTATTGGCTCTTAAACTAATTAATCTATCTCTTATATAGTTATTTAATACGATATTCTGTTTATTCAATTTTTCTGCTAAATAAGATGAATCAACAGAAAATATCAAGGATTACGTTAAAAATAGATTGTTAAAAAATATGGAAATAATGATTCTTAATTTTAAAGCCTGACATTATTCTTATTCGTATATAATATCAATAATGATCAAATCTAACACAATGTTGATTTCTATAGCAAATCATGATAATTTTTATTAAAATTAAAGTTCGTCATCTTCACCCTGAGGAGGTACAAGAATCCGATGCTTTTTGGTGGGTGTATTTTCCTCCGATTCGGGAGTCTTGTGCTTACTGAAGGGTTGGTATCCATGAACCGTTTGAAAGGTTGTTGGTTTGTTTTCTCTTGGCTGTTTTCCAAGACGATCATAGCAATAGAAATGTGATCTTGGTATTGCTGGAGCTTCTTTGGTCTTAGATTCTTTTTTCGTATACGGACAATCACATTTCTTGTCCTGGTGACAAATTTTATGAACGTCTTCCTTTACGATTTTGGCAAACTCCATTTCCCCTTTAATAATGTTGCTGAAATCGACTCGTGGCATCCTGGGTGGAGCATCAAGGATATACATATTACGCTGTGGGATTCCTGATTTATATTTATTAAACAACTCTGCATAGGTTGGAGTGCGATCTTCAAACTCTCCCGGCAGCGCCGCATACACAAAAACCCAAGGTTGATTTGGGTATGTTGGTTGTGACTCAAAACCTCCAATAACTGGTTTTTTTAAAAAAAATTAAAAAAAAAAGTAATTAATTATTGCAAAGTTCAAAATCTCAAAAGATAACATTAATAATAATAATAATCATAATAATTAACTAACGTGGATTAAAAAGTTTATTGAAAGTCATCTTTTCCTCTTTAGATTTTTGAACCATGACATTGCAGCAGCTACAGGGTTCGGTAACTGTGATGGTTTCTGTCCATTCCATGGGCTTTTTCTGTACACGCACAAGTTTTACATTGACTTGTCTGCTCAGTGCGTCGACTTGGTCTGATTAATAAAATAAAGAAACAATTTATTACTAGAATAAAAAATTTTACAAAAAAAAAGAATTTATTTACCTTTTGGAGGATCGGGTCTAATCCCCATCTTAACTACCATATCTTCAACAAATGCTTCATTGGAATTATCGTATTGATCAATATCCTTTATCAACTCTTTGGGAACTGGTTTATAAGGATGTTTATCCCACCAACTAGGAGATTCATATCTCCATTCTGTTATTGGGAGCTTACTTCTTTTGATATCCTTAACATAATCATTATAGAACACTTGTTGCTTCCATTTCATTGGTTCCCATTTTGGCTTTTCATCCCTGCCATCTCCATAAAGAGGAGTCCAAGTTCCATCATACTCCTCTCTATAAGCGTATGGACCGTCTCGCCGAGGTTTAAGAAGCAACTCGTAAACTAGTCGCGCATCTACATCACTTTCTGGAGGAATATCTGATCCTGGAACTTTCTTTTTATTGGCCTCTATTGTATTTGGGAGACTCTTTGAAACCGATCTATCTTTAAGTTTAAGTTGCTCTAGTAAATCCTTCCCTGAATTGCCATGACGAATATTAGGAACGGTTCTTCTGTAAGATGTATTATATCCCCATGTTGGTTCTTTGATATTTTTTGGTGTTAAAATACCATCGTTATAAACCGGTTCGTTCTTTTTTCTACGAGGGAAATCTACTTCTGTAAGGGTCCTCTCGTATTCTTCAGGAGGAAGTGGAGTTGTACGAGTTTTTTTTTCTGGAAAGAATTCTACATATTCCGAATCGTCATCTGAATCTCCCCCTTTTGGTTTTTCTTTAGTAATAGTAGGTACAATGCTCGATGATATTGTTGGACCCGTTGTAATAGTAACAGGACGTTTCGTGTCAGCTACCGTTGGTGTTTTTAATAAAGGGACGGAAGCTGATGTAGAAACTATTTGAATTGTTGTAGTTGGAACTGCATTATTTAATGAGAATGGAATTGTTGGAACTGTGCTCGTTGCAGGTTGGTCCGCTTTCGATATTTTAGATGTGTCACCAATTGTCACGCTAACGGGTGGACCCGTGGTTGACGTTCCTACTATTCCGTACTGTTGTGGTTGTAAAGTAAATTCTTTTTTAAACGATATAAAAAAATAAAAATGTTTTTCTTTATCGTAAATATTTCAGAATAGCTGATAATGAACGTACTTACCCTTGCCTTTGCCCTTATCTACTTTGGGCTTCAATTTTGTTTCAAACACAAGTGGTGGGGGATTATTCGTACCATGCAACCTGAAATAAAGATTACCGGTATATTGATAATTATACGGATTCGGAATCGGAGTCGTGGCCGGAGCTTGCTGTTGAAACGGCAATTGCGGTTGTACAACTGGCTGCTGAGCAAATTGTCCAAATTGTTGCGGTCCCGTTGGTTGCTGAGCGAACTGTGATTGCCCATATGGTTGCTGCGCAAGTGGTTGCTGCGAGAACGGTGACTGCGCTATTTGAGATTGGCCGAATCCGAATCCCATTGGTTGTTGCGCTATCGTTTGTGATGGTAATTGAAATGCTTGCGTTGATGCATTTATAATTGGTGGTAAGGACTGTGCTGGCCGGACTAATGGCGTTTGTTGGACTCCAGGACGCCGGTTAAGTTCGTAATCATATAATCGTAATTCCTATTTAAATTATACAAGGTTCAATTACGATAAATTAAACCGAACCAATTAAATATATGAGAAAGATTACCTCAGGAGACCATGGACGAAATGCTTCCATAGCCGTAAGATTCTGAAAGATTTGATATACTCCTGAAGGTTCGCGATCCTTGAATGGTTCGAATTTTGGATCTTGAGTACCCGTCAATCGTGGATTTATGCCAGGTGCTGATGATGCTGTCCCAGTAGCTATTTAATTAAAAGAATATGATAATGAACCGGCTAATAAATTACGAAAAATTTTGTAAGACATAATATTATACCTTGAACGGGTGCGTTGGAAGGACCTGGTATTCCAAACCCAAACGCACTAGAAGTTTGAACATTTGAAGGTCCTGCCTGTGGTTGAGATTGAAAGCCAAACCCAGATGGTCCAGCAAGTTGTTGATATTGTTGATTTTGGCCAAAGCCAAAAGCTCCAGCTTGTGGTTGTGGTTGTTGACCGAACCCAAAAGGTGTAGCGCTTGCACCACCAAAAGAAGGTGTTTGTTGTTGCGTTTGACCAAAACCTCCAAAAGGGGTTTGGGCAGGAGTTGCAAAAGCTGACGGAGCAGCTTGTTGACCGAAACCAAATGCAGAAGGTTGTTGGGCTTGGGGATCTATTAACATGTTAAATAGAAATTTAATATAGAAGACTACTTTTCGTTAAAATTGTTAAATAATGTCTTACTTTGCCAAGCTCCAAATGCTTGAGGTGCGGTTGTCTTAGCAGGGGTCTGAAAACCTAATAAAAAGGGAAAAATAAGCAAAGGTTAGAAAACAATAAATAAATCCAAGATTAAAAGTGTAGCATAGTACTGTTATTGAATTCACAGTTGCAAAATTGGGATCATAAAATGCACAGTATAAATATATAAATATATATTATATAAAATAGAAAGTATGTTTATTTTTACCTTGGTTCCCAAAACCAAAGCCGAATCCCTGTTGGCCGTTCATAATCAATAGGTTTAGATGTATATCTTAAGACTTGTTGATGGTTTCGGAAGGAGAATTTCTGACGCGCTATGCTAAAGGGTTCCAAGTTTAAAAATTTATCACGACTCTTTTTTACGGATCATAGGATCATAAATCCTCGGACACGTGATACTATATGACACTCTCCAATCCGAATTAAGAATTATAGAAATTGAAACTGTGATATTGAATTACTCAATTTTTTTTAGCTTTTTAAACATATTTGCAAGTTCTAAAATATTAGAAATTTTCATGAATTAACATTAATAAATTAAGAATAGTTAAAATTATCTAATTTACATCTTATGTGTCTAAAGCTTTATTTATTATAACATCAGTTAGATTTAACTAAATCATTTTAATTTTATCTTACTAAACTTGTTTTAGGTCTCATTCCAAAAGATAGCAGTTTTATATTTTTGGTTTCATCTTTAAATAGTGTATATAAGAACATGCTTCTGATGAAGAATTTGATCTTAAAACATCCAATAATTTTTAAAAAAATTAATCGAGACTTTTTGAGCTGATCCGCAAGAAAATAAATTATATAACAATATAAATTTTATCGCCCGCACTGCGCCACATTAAAAAATAGCCACAACGGTCTACTTTTCTATTTCTATAATATTTATATAAAAATATATGAAAATGACACTTTTTTTTCACGCGCCTTATTTTTAAATTTATTTTTAAATCAATAAGTTGGAACAACATTATCAGATTTTCTTGGTTATGTAACTTTAATGATATTTAATAAGAAATCTATTCACACCAAATACTTTTACAAGAAACGAAAAAAAATAATAATAATAAATTTAATTTACATTTTTTTTTTTTTTTTTTTAGATTATCCTAAAGCTTTTCTTAACTCATTCCATTTTCTTTGTAATACTTCCCTTTCATTTTCACTTTCAGCGTATCTCATTTTAATCTCAATTAACATATTTTCTAAATTTGATAATTGATCTTCTAAATTATTATTACTTTGTACGAGACTAATATTTTTTTCTGCTAAAGCATTCATTTCTTCTCGTAAATTGGCTTCAACTTTTGCTGGTTGATCTTCAACTGTTTTACGCAATTCTGCTACTATTGAATGTAATTCATCATTTTCATTCTGTACTTTTGCTAATTCCATTTTAGTATTAACTAACACGTTAGCTAATTCAACATGTTCTCGATTGAGTGTTTGTAAACTCCCTTCTAAATTTTTAACATGACTTGATAATTGATTATTGCTTGATCGTAACTTTTCTGTCGCTTCGGCTTCTGCTAATACTTTTCTTTTTTCAGCCTCTTGTTGTGCATAATATGCTTGTTGATATTTATTTAATTTTTTGGTGGTAATCCGTATATTATATGCATCCTTAACAAAATCATTAGTGTGATATTGCGTCTCTTTAACTAATTGAGCAAGAACCCCGGTATGCGTAATCTAAAAAATAATAAATTTTAGAATTAGAAAATTTTATTTTTAAAAGAGGTTGGAAAGAAAAAAAAAAATTTTTTTTTCTTTTTAATATCAACCTGATAATTTTCAAATAATCCACTTTTTAGATATTCTAAAAGCGTTTCAAATTCCATTTCTACAATTCTTTTTTCATTTTTCTTTAAAAGTGCAATGCTAAATCGGAATATAGCTTCAATTCCTTCAGTAAAAATAGTATCATATATTCTAAAAACTAAAGATAAAGGGAACTTATATGCAAAAAGTGTCATGAACCATTGTGAAGCATACATTGAAGAATTTATTCCCTGCGCTTGTAAGTGACTATGAATTTTAGGTAGCATTTCTTCAACAAGTCGATCAAATTGAAAAAGGCGAAGTTGTAAACCATCCATGCCAGGCAAGAAATGACCTCGCATATTATAGAATTTCATTAATCTAACAAGTACACAAAATGCTTCTTCATCAGGCATCTACGTATAAAACATAGAATAGGTCAGTAAAATGAACTTAATAATTCAAACATTACTTTTATGTTGTGATAAAAAACCTACATTTAAAAGTAAAGGTCCAACAACAAAGGAAATTCCTTGACAATATCCAACATCCGTATCATAAAGCGAATATGCCTTTACTACGTTAAATAATCCTTCTTGGCCTATACCGTCTTGATCCTGAAAATATTTATGCTTTGGAAAAGTCCTATTCAAATCTCTTATGATCATCTTTTCATGAGGACTCGTTTCCTTTAGCAATTGAGCATATGTCGACTCTAATTCACTATCTTTTGATTTTGACATAAGTTGCCATATCATACCACGCAAAGCTTGTGGAATTCCTTTCTGAATCATTTTTGATAGTTGACGCGGTTGCGACCTCGCAACCGTTTCATAATCGGAAATTATTTGACCCCAGAAATCTGGATATAAAAAAACAAAAACAAAAACAAAATTATTGTAATTTTAATTAGGTTATTTTAAAACAGAAAAAAAAAAATTTTAATTTTTACCCCAATCAATGTCATCGTCAGCTTCGCCCCCAGTAGCCTCATGTTGCACACGTTCGAAACTAGCCTTTATGTCGGCAATTCCTTGAAGAGACATCCTCTTTGCCTTTGGATCTTCTTGTAACATTTGATTTTCCCTTTCAAGTCTTGCTAATAATAAATCATAATTAGAACCAGTAGAACCAGTAGATGTCATTGATACAGTTGACATACGATGGGGATCAATTTTTTCACCGCTACTGGTACTTTTTGGTGATGTTGAAGTAACAGTAGAAGTGGTCGAACGTGGACTAAAAAATGTTGAAATTGTTTTTAACGAAGTGGATGTTGGGAAACCCCAATCCGCCAAATTCCATTCTTTAGATGATTCTTGTGCACTTAGAGTGTCATCATCTAAAGAAATGTCATTTAATTCTGGACTCTCTCTAAGAGAAGCTACGGATAAACGATTTAAATCATGTTTTTCATCATATATATTTTCAAAACTTTCATTTTCTGTCCCATTCGTAAAATCGATTGATTGATGTATTAATGTCGAAGAAAGACTACTAGTTTTTGAAGTAAAGGTTTCACTCATTGAATCTCTTTCGCTTTGTTTATCTTCAGAAGAAAATGAAGAGGAATTGGCATTAATTGGTAAAATTTCCATTTCATGATCTTCTGGAATAATTTGCAAATTTTCTCCATTATCATTATTGTTATATAATGGACCATTTTCCTCAGATAAATTCTTTGTAACATATTCTTGACTCGTATTAGAAAAAATGGTGTTGGAATTAATATCATCCAATTTCTTATTTTCTAATTCATCAAAAATAGATTCTGGAACATTTTCTGAAGGGTTCCCTTCCAAACCGTTATCACTTTTCTCGTCCACAATTTTAATTTCAGATTCTTCTGAGAAACTATCTACTAAAGGATTTTCTACAAAATCATTAACATTTTTCTCCAAAGATTTACCTAGTTTGCTCTCACCGGAATTATCCTCGGACTTATCGGAGGCACTTTCGCTCGGCAATTCTTCTTCAGTGGGGTCAAGTTTTCTTTCTGTTGATACGACGATTTCTTTCTGATCTTTGGATTTATCAACGAAAATTTCTTCTACACTGGGATTGACTTCTATATTAACCTGATCTACATATGCAATAATTTTTTCATCCTTTTCTAATTCATCCTTTTCATATGAAGTGTCACTTTCATGATCAGAAACATTATAATTTTCTTTTTCTGATACATCCGTTTGAAAAGAATCGGTACTAGAAGTACGACTTGAATTTTCACGTCTTGATTGTGTGGTAGTTGATGAAACAATTACTTCAGTTTGATCAGTAACGATTCCTTGAATTGTCAAGTCATCACTTGAAGATGAAGTTTGATCTTTATCGTTGGAAGTAGTAGTATCAACTTTCTTTTCTTCGGCTAAAGCGATTTCTTCCTGCTTGCTTAGCTCTTTACGATCACTTTCATAGTTTAAAGTATAATCAATATAGTCATATTCATCATCAGCTGCTTGATTATCATAAGCATCGACAACTTCTGAAGCATTTTCCTTAGGAGGAACATTGGCTGTTAAAATTGTTGGAACCTCGGTAATAGGAAGTTCATTTTTTTCAACGATTATTGACATTTTTTATTTTATTTTTTATTTTTAATTATTTTTTTTATTTATTTGTTATTAAGCTTTTAAAAAAAAAGATTGGCTGTGAAAAAAAAAGGTTCAATATAAAAAAAGTTGGTCGCAATCAAAAGTCCCAAGCTCTTGTTGCATTACCATGAAAAAAAAAAAAAAAAGAGATATTTTAAAGATTGTATGTATATATAAAAGAAAACGGAAAATGGAGAAAAAGAAATTAATATATCGAATATTATACCATTTTAAAAGTTGAAACATTTTACCAAATTTTATATGACTTTTTTAACTTACCCATGTACTTATTTAGAAAGATGCACGCTGCAATTTTTTTTTTAGATTCCTAATTACGAATTGGGTCAAGTTGTATACTAAATTTCGTGGAGCATTAAAAAAAATATGTGCTAATTACAATTGAAACAATTGATATTATAGGGATCTTCATATTTTTAACCGTTTAAAGTCATCCCCGTCGTTTCAGCGCTAAGCAAGCTTCGCCTAGAATTTACAATACATCCAATACATTTCCCAAAAGTCCAATCATCCGAAAAAATTTTGGATACGAGTTCAAACCTATAAAAAGAACACACAAATGCCCAGATGATTTCCCCCTATAACGCTTTCGATAAAATCATATCTTTGGGTTGACATATCCGTTGGTGACCAACAGGATATCCGGAAATTTAACGGCTATCCAAATAAAGGTAACTTTATTCCCCGGATATAATCGCACTCTCATTATGTCCGTATTAAGGTCGGCTGAAAAAACCTATAAAATAAAGTATGACGATGTGGATAATTTTGTCAATCTTTCTCGAATTTGTAAAAAAAAAAACAATTCCGTTCATATCATAAGTAAAGGTAAAAGTTTTTTAGTCGATTGATAAGTTTTTTTAAGATCTTTCTATTTTTTTTGTCGACGACTAAACGTATTTTCGGAATTAATCAATCATAAAATGAAAAAACACGATTACAAAATGTATGTAAGATCCAATCGTGTTGATCGGATTTTCAATATTTGAAGCTTTATTACAAATTTGGAAATTGTAATTACAAAAAACTGTTCAACTGTCCTTAATAAAATCTTTAAGGGGATATTTAAGATTTTTTTTAAAGCTTTTTCACATTCTGTGACGTCAATATGATTGGAAGTTGAAATTACTAAACGCATTTATCTTGTGTACGTTTTAATGGTTACATACCAGTGACATGTCCGATAGCAATGCATAATTTATATTACATACTTGCAAATTAACTTTATTTTTCAAGTTTTAATTAGAAAGAAAGCGAAAATTACTTTAAATTCGCTCCTTTAATTATCCCTAAAACCCGACTCTCCCTATATACCTCCATCTTATCCACATCTTTCCCGACATACTTTTGCGTATATAAACGCATAAGTACCTTTTACCCACATTCTATACTTTGATAAAAATATATCTAGATTTTTTTTTTCATTTTCCCTTTTTTTTTTTTTTTTTTTTTTTTTTTTTGTTAAAAGGAAATGCGTTTACCTCCCGTAGACTTAGAAAAAGTTAGCTTTGACAGTGATTTAGAGAAAAGGCTACCTGTTGAGAACGTGAATGATTCTGGAAGTTTGTCTTCAAGAACTTCATCGGAACCTCGAAATAGCGAAAACAATGAAAGTTCTCAGCGTTTACTCGTTTCTTCAAGTACAATAGCTTCTGCTATGTTTGAACGAATTCGTAGTACTCAAAGACCAAAGAAAAACGAATATGTAGAGGTTTACACGGGTGACGAGGACTCTGATAGCGAGTCAGTTGGTAAAGCAAAGAAACAAAAGATGTTCGACATAAATGATTTGAATGATGAATATAGCTTGGCTTTTGAGGTATTTTCATTTGAACAAGGTTATTTAACTGAATTCTTTTTGCCCTAATCACGTTTTTTGATTTTAGGCAATTCCACCGTTATTAGTAGCAGTGGCTGGTTTAATGTTTGCTGGCTGGCTTTTAGATGCCGTTCAAGTAAGTAGTAATTCGGATAATCCTCGCATCATTAATTGATCATCCTAACTAATCATGTAAATTTACAAATTAGTATTGGCCCGTGTTTATTAGAGTTAAAGAACTATTTATTTTGGTGCCGGTACTATTAAATTTAAAAGGCAATCTAGAGATGAATTTGGCATCTCGGTTATCTACATCGGTATGAAAGGGATAAAAGTTTTAAATTTTTATTTCTATGATGATGAAATTATCTAACCTTGACATTTGAATATGATTAAAGGCAAATTTAGGAGAATTAGATAAACCTAATGCACGATACGCGTTAGTTTGGGGTAATTTAGCGGTCCTTCAAGTTCAATCACTAATTGTTGGAGCGGTTGCTGGATTGTTTTCATTTATCGAAGGGGTCATGTTTCATTCAGATCACGTAAGTACTTACGATGAGAGCATGCTCGTAATAGTTTCCTCAATGATTTGCGCAGCTTTAAGTAGTATGATATTGGGAACTTTTATGTGCGGCTTAATAATATTATGTAGACGTTTCCGTATTAACCCTGGTGAGCCTATCTTCTTTATTTCCTTTTTTAATTTCAATTATACTATAAAATCCAAGGTTAATTTAAATATAATTTTAAGATAACATTGCATGTCCGATGGCTTCGTCACTGGGTGATTTGCTTACCTTAATCATTCTAGCGACATGTGGTGAAATTTTATTACAACACCTTCGTAAGTGAAACCTTTTTCCTTTTTACCTCGTTCCTTAGCAGACTTAACATGCGCGAATGCAATTACTTATGTAAGCTTCGATTTTAGGTACGAGTTTCAGCACCGTTACGTTTCTTATTCTTATAATATGTATTCCCTTGTGGGTGCAGTTTGTATGGTCAAATCATTATGTTCATGACTTGCTAGTGAATGGCTGGAGTCCACTGTTTATGGCCATGGTCATTTCCAGGTGTGTTATCATGTGATTACATTCAAAGTATATATTTGTCTAATATAATATTAATTTTCATGTAATTTTTTAAATATTTCAGCATGGCTGGTTTGGTTTTAGAACGATATATCGAACGTTATAACGGACTTGCACTTTTAACCCCAGTATTAAATGGTATTGCCGGTAATTTAGGATCTATATACGCGTCAAGAATCTCCACTCGTCTTCATAGTGGTGAAGAAGAAGATTACCGTCTCTCGGAGTTCACACTATTCCTAATTCATATACCAATTGAAATCGTATTTTTAATATTTGCTTGGTGGTTCAACGTTGGGCACGTTAATCTTACTTGGAGTTTTGCAGTCACTTATTTGCTTGTTTCGTTAATATGTGTATGTGTGATTATCATTATTGTTATTATAATGCTTGTTTCTCGTTACTAAATCGAAGTTTTATTTTATTTATATTAGGTGATGTTCACCCTTAATCTCTCTAAAAGATTGACTCTTTGGTTATGGCAAAATAAATATGATCCTGATAATTATTCTTTACCTTACATGTGAGTTATAAAAAAATTATTTTATTTTTTTTCGCGAATAATTACCAATTATTTAATTGATTATGTTATAGAACCGCTATTGTTGATGTCGTTGGTACCGGATTATTAGTTTTATCTTATTGGATATTATCTGAAATGGGGCTGCATGTTGAGAATCACATAAATCATCATAATATTTAATTCATTATAATTAGACGATGTAAAAAAGTAATATAAATTTTTTTTTTAATGTTCGAACTATCATTTTTATTTCATCAAAAAGAAAAAAAAAAAAAACAAAAACCAAAAAACTAGACTTTTTTTTTGTAGATATTATAACATACGCTATTTAATAATTTTGAGATTTAGATGTTTTGTTTTTTTTTTTTTGAAAAAAAAATTTATTACCTTCTTTTTCAATGTATCAACTAATTAAAGTTCAAAATGTAATATTATTTTTGGGGAGAAATCGTGTTTCTTATCATGTACATGTACCATTTAATTGCCATACCTCCTATTCAATCACCGAATCTGGCTTTATATAATATACATAGCCGATTCGGCACGCAAATGGAGAATATTAATTATATTTCCTAAAAAAAGTTCAAATGTAAAAAAAATCATTGAATCGGGGATTTGACCTCGTGATTTTTCGATTTTTTTTCACCTTTTTTTGGAAACAATCCATCAAATTACGTGTCCTATTTCTTAATAAATCATCATTTCGATCATACAATTTAACAAGTAATATCCAATATTAATTTGTCTTTAAATATATGAATAAAGTAACTATTATTGCATTATAACTATGAAAGGAGAAGAATGTCTTGTTTGTAAATCCCGAAAGTGGTTTCCTGATGGGTTGGGAGGTTTGGTGTGTCAATTTGGACACCAACGTGAGGTATGTTTCAAAATACAGAGTTTTGTGGAAGGATTTGGGTTATTTAAAAAATTATTTATCATGATTATTAATATTTGCCTATTTAAGAGCTACACAGTACAAGAAAGTGAATTTCACGGTCAAGGAGGAGTAAATAGGCGTAAAAAAGGAAATAAGGAAAAGGCGGCTATTAAGGGTAAACTTTCATTAAGGAAGGAATTTTTCAATTTTATTCGAGTGATTAAAGAAAAAAAATTTTTTTTTCTCTCTACCTTTCGATATGAATAATCAATAGAGGAAAGATACGCGTATCATAATCAAAAAGATTTGCTTTGGATCGAATTTGTTGCAATGCAATTTATACTTAGGCATCATATACAAATAATGATTAAAGACATGGGAGTTACTCCACAACTCGAAGTTAGTTAACTTTCCTATTGGTCTTAATTCATTCTAAAACTTTAATTAATTGGTATGCTTTATAGAACGTTTGCAAACATTTCTGGATAATGTATGTTAATAAATTCAATGGTATCGATGAAATCAGAAAAAATCGTGAATCTATGGACATTGATGAAGGTGAAGGTGGTGGCCCTTCAAACATACAAGGAGAGGAGAGAAGAGATCAATATGAAGAAGATAATATTGAATTATTGTTTGAACTCCCGCAAAGTTCATCAGATGATGAATATGATGAATTTGATGATGATACTACAACAAAGGGACAAAACAAAAGAAAAGCTGTTAGCTTTACTAAAGATATAAAATGTTTGTTAAAATTACAATACCTTTTGGTTATTTTACATATTGGATGTTTATGGTTGAGATTACCTATATTAATTGGTGATATTCATAGGTAATTGAATTGTTGTAATTTATATGTGAATCATATCCAAAGGTAGATGCTGACGACATTTATTTTATTTAGGTGGATATATGATGGCACTTTACCATTTCTTTCAGCACGTCAATATTTGCCTGATAATATAAAATTACATCTTGGAAGACGGATCAATAAATTTGAACCCAAGGTTTGTCTTTCATTCAAATTTTTCGGAAAAATTTTACAAATGATTCAAATGAATTATATTAAAATTTTTCTTAGGTTTTGGTTAAGTGCGAGGTGCTATTTGACTTGGAAACGAGATTTCATTTATTTTATAAAGTTGAATATGGAATACGTTTGCCGGAGATTAACGCCCCACCCATAATTTATCGATACGTTAGAGATTTAATGTTACCAGGTATTAAAATACAAAAAGAGAGATTTTTTTTTCACGTTTTTTTTGCATTAGATGTTAATAAATTGACTTTTAATACCTAGTGGAACTTTATGTTATGTCTAAGGACATTGCACAAATAATTAATTTAAACCTTTTTCATGATTTTAATCATAATAAATATAATAATTATCGACCCCCTACGTTATTAATGGCAATTGTTATCATTACTGCTAAAATGATTTATGGTTTGGATGAACGTAGAAGGTATTTCATTTTAAAAAGAATTTCGTTTATCGTTATCCTACATCATCAGTTCCCAATAATTCTTTATTAGATTTCCAGGGGAGAACGATCAATTTACTAAACATTTCCCTTCATTTGAAGATTGGATAAAAGCTTTAAGTGACATGAGAGAAGCATTATTTAAAAAAGAAATTCCTGCTGATGCATCGTAAGCATTTTTAAAACGCTTTCAATAGTTTATCATAAATACCTTTTTTACATACAGTCAGAACTCGTTATAACGAACTCTTGATATAAACGATCACTTAATGAATTCTCGTTTAAAACGATTTTTTTTTAAAATTTTTTGTTCCATATTAAAACATATAAAAATCGTTATATCAAATTTATAAATTTTGTTAAACGATTTTTTTCAAAAACCTTTATAATAAACCGGGGGAGGATCCGTTATATCGAGTACTGACTGCATATATAAAAATATTTTTTTAGAAATACCTTTTAACTTTTTCTTTTCATTTTTTCTGTTTGATTAAAAAGTGATATAAAAGAATGGATGAACATCAATCCAGATCAGTACATTAAACATTGTGCCAAGTTATTAGGTAATAGGAATCGATCGTCTAAAGGATCATTACGTATCGATCAAATATATACAGGTATGCAAAAACCTTTACTCATACAATTCTTTATTACAATAAAAAAAAAATTAATGAATTCTCAAAAAAAAAAATAAAAAAGAGATTGATGAAAGATCAAAACCGTTTAAGACACTTAATGAAACAATCGTACAAGAAATCAAATTAAAGGAAGTCGAATTAGGTTTAGATTCACGTTTTCAAGAGAAAAAGAGATCAACTCCTTCAGGAAAGCTTAAAGTAATTGAAAGGTTAGAAGATAAAGAAATATCAAAATTGTTACGATTGAAAATTATAAATGAATCAAATAAAGTATCGGAAACGATTACTTCATTTAAACCTATCGAGGATGAATTAAAATTATTATATGAAACGGCGGATTTTAATCATAATGAATATAATCAATCAATATTATCAGATCAGAATAATAATCATCCTTCTACGCATGGGGGAGAAAATTACGGTAAATTCCCGGATCCTTTGGATATTTTGCGTCGTAGGTATTCAACTTTTTTATTTAAAAAACCCGAAAGTCCTGATCAAAAATTATTATTTGGAGAGAAGTATACTGCTTATCAAATTCCTACTATTTCACAAAGATACAAGTATGATAGGAATGTTGAATTAATCGGGGATTATCACGAAGATTATGAAAGAGTTTTGATTTTTGCTTCTAATATGATTGGTGAAACTATTGACGAATTACAAAAACATATTATGAAAGTTGAAGTTGATTTATTACAAGCCATTGAAAAAAAATTTTGTAACATTTAATTCAGTGAATTTGTTTGTCTAAAAGTTTGTCGTGATGAAATAAAAATCTTTAAATGCTAAAAAGTTCAATAACTTTACTTATTTATAATTTTGCCTTCATCAATATCGATATATATATATGTGTGTATGTATATATCGAAGTCCTAAAGTTAATCCCTAAAATTTTATATTTACATTAACCAAATCTTTTCTAAATACAAAAAAAAAAGGGAAAATTAAATTCCTTCAAAATAATTCATTTGCTCACTACACAATGCATTCCCTTGTCAATAATAACTTGGTCTTTGTTGCCAAGACGAATGACCCATTGAATAACCATATTGCGGATAATAAGGATATCCATAAGGGTAACGTTGCGAAGGTTGCGAAGGTTGCGAAGGATAGTAAGTTGGAACTTGCGATTGTGTTGGTAATGGCCTTGAATAAGTCATTTGATAATTAGCATGCATTTGAGTACTCGTGCCTTGAGATGCTCCATATTGCATTCGCATTGGAACTTGGGAGGCTGTCGCACGTGAAGATTGGGTATAAGGCATTGATGCTGACATCGGTAATGGTAACTGATGTGGAGTAGGATGATGTAATGATTGTGACGGCATTGATTGCTGACGAGATGCTGAATTTGTTACTGATGACGGCCCTGCTAATGAACCCTGGGGCAATGTGTCCTTGGAATTCATATTTCTCGCATATGTATTATTCCTATCTACTGATGATATTTCTTTTCTAGACAAATTACCGAACACATCACGAGAAACTTCGTTGGTAGGATGTGCAAAAGATTTATTAGGTGGTAGCACACCTTTAAAGGACCTTTCCTTTATTAATAAATTATCCATAGCATTTTCGACAGCACTGAATGAGACGATATCAGAAGGCGATACTTTTGATATCAAATTAGCAAGTTGCTTTTGCAACTTATATACTATTATAAAAAGTATCAAATGATTATTAATAATTAAATATTTTAAAATAAAAATCCGAAAAGGATAACAAATAAAATAAATCCTCATACCATATTTTCTTTCTTTTGCAGAGATTTGACTCGATTTAATCAATCTTTTCTCTTGCATTGATCGTACTTTTCTAAAGATTTCCGCATGTTCGTCTAACATCTCATCAATCTCATTTTGTTGTGTACGTTTAATACTTTTATATAATAAATCTACATCAATGTCTTCAAAAAATTTGTCCTTATCGCTGTTTTCTACGTTATTGCCATTTCCTGAATTATACTGCTCGGCTGACACTCCTACCGAAGTCGTCTCTACGTTAGATGATGATTTTTTTTCTACCTGCCCCTCTTCACTTAAATCCAACTTATTAATCCTTTTAGAGACTCGCTTATGTTTTTTATAAGTACGCGCCAACATTGTATCTTCATAAGATAACGTTGCGTCACTTGAATCATAAATTGGTGCGAATGATGCATATGCCTTATACCTATGGAATTTAACTGGATATTAAATGTAACGTATCAATATATTTAATCTGTTTTTCGAACAAAATATAAAAATAAATCGCCTAGTCGAAGGTCTTGATAAAATACTAACTTCCAGGAACATTACGTTCTTCAGGTTGTAAGAACTTAGAATTCTCTCTCTTCTTTGGAAGAATCGAACCAAATGTCGGAATTTCTTGTTTGTCCATGGATTGCAAAGATACAATTGCTATATCCTGCAAATCACCGACTTTAGGTAAATCGAAACAAACATTAAAATAAGAAAACAATTATTGAATATTCCATTTGCGAGTAATGTTTGATTCCAAACTTCTAAAGAGTTAATTTTGTACGAATCTGTTATAATTACCTAATTTAATGGCATCCTTTTTTCCGTTTTGTTGTGGAAGTTGTTTGACCGCACCACTTGAAAATACATGACCGTCCGAAGTTGGCTGAACAAGTGCAATCTTTTGCACATTTTTTGTAACTATTTTTTTTTTTTTTATTATTTGAAAGGTTATTAATTTTCAAATTATGAATCATAAAAAGATAAAGTAGCGATACTAACATGTACTTTTTACTGCAACCGAATTTTTATCATGAACATCAAGTTGTCGTATACTTCTTGGCAATTTTTTGTAAGCTTGTTCAAATAATCGAGACCCAAATTTAAGAAGTTGAGCAGCAGCATTGTGCATTTTAGGATCAGCAGCATTTATGACGTCGTTGCATGTACAAATAAAATCATCCTATTGAGAAAATTTTTAGTAAGCTCACGTTCACAAAAAAAAAATGAGAATAAAAAATGTATATACCTGGAATTCATTCAAACTTTTGTATGAACGCTTAGTAATTTTAGCTCGAAAGAGCGTTAAATTTAAAACTTGACCTGAATTATTTCCCTTGCTCCCTATTTTCTTTGCGCTTTGCAAAACTTTCTCGGAATCATACCTGTGAAGGAAAAGGAAAAAAAAAAATTTTGAAAAGTGAAAAAAGGGAGCTAGGAATTAAAACATTCCATTCAAATTTAATTATTTTACGTTTCTAAAATGTCCACTAATTGATTCAACAGCGTCATAAATTCCTGATATTGATCATATTCTACTACAAAATTTCCGATTACCATTTGTGTTCCTCTGATTTCTACAACGTCCTTAAAACTTTCAGTAATCGTATTGATATCCTGAATGATTTCATCATTAGATTGAATAACTCCTTTTTCGTTGTTTTTATTTTCATCTTTTTCGATATCTTTAGTTGTTTTGTCATCATTCTCCTTCTTATTATTAGTACTTGATTTATCAACGCTTCTTCGCAAGGGTTTATCGTGATCATTATTTTGTTGAGCACTATCTTCAATCATTTCACTCTCCCGCTTTAATTCATTATTATCAACATTGGATTGACCATCATTATGTCCAACTCTTGTTAAAAGTTTCGCTCGTTTCGGCGGACTCAAAACAGATACTTTATCTTCCGAATTTTTTGTATTATTTGAATTGGATGGTGGTGATCGTCTATCAATTTCATCATTTTCTTCGGGTGTAATAACCTCGGCGGCCGATTTCCGCTTTCGTTTCATATCAAACGCGATTTTTTTTTGTTGCTCAATAGAATTAACCAATTCGATCTTTTGATTACTTTTTGAGCGTGTGGTAACTGCAGGTTTTCGTATTTGGGCAGATGTTGAAGCTATTTATCGCATTGACGCGCAACGCATATTAGATTAGATTACGTATCGAAATGATTTTGAACTTGACCTTTCTTTGATAACCTCTGAAATATTCACACTTACAAGAGCTAGTTTTATGTTGCCTTTTTACCATTATTGTTATTAAAAGGTTATGTGATTTATTTCTAACCGTAAAGGATCAAAAAAAAAAAAAAAAAAATGGATAGCAAAAAAAGTTTTTTAACGATATGAAATTCAATCTATCCTCAAACTATGAACGACCAACGTGCAAAAATTTTTATGGTACTAAATATAGTCTAGTCAACGTTTCACGTGATTTGTCACTATTTGACATTCCAAAAAAAAAAAAAATTGAAAAAAAAAAAAAAAATGAAAAATGTTTTGCAAAACACGTTTATCATCATCAATTCTTGGTTCTCAAAAATTAATCAAATCTATTAAATCTTCGCAATGCTTAACTTATGGAACGCGTAATTTAAATCAATCCAATTTGATAATACATTCAAAGGCTTTAAGAATTTCTTTTCCCTCTTCGTTTTATTCCACTACAACGATAAATACAACCACCAAAGTCAAAAAAGCACAAGCATCACAAAGACCTTTACCGGAACTTAAAAATAAAACTGGTCAATACATCATTTTTGGGATAATAGGTGTTGGCTTTTGGATTGGTGCTATAATTGCTTCATTTAATTATCAACGGCTGAATAGTAGTATTGTACAAGGAAGTCTATTCAATTTAAAATACCATCCTAAAGCTATAGAGTTATTAGGAAAAAATATCAATTTCGTTTCTAGTTTTCCTTGGATTAAAGGAAACATTAATCATTTAAAAGGTCAAATAAATTTTCAATACACCGTCAAAGGTGATAAAGGTATATATATATATAAAAAAAAAAAAATTTTGAACTCTTATTAGAATTAATATTAATTTTGTAATTTATAATTGATAAAATTCAATTACACTAGGAAAAGGAATTATTCATTTTCATTCTATCCGAGATGTACAAGACCGTAAATGGAAAGTTATAAAATTCACTTTAACTACTGAAGATGGAAAAGTCGTTCCATTGGATTTGGATGAATTATTTGTATAGAAAAGAAAAATAAAATGCATGACTTTCTTATTGGAAAGTTATTTCTCGCTCTTTGATTGTTCTGACATCCAAATACACAAATCGATGTGTTCGTTAATCTCATCTGCTTTAATTGAATTGTTCCCACAAATTGGACATTGCACCGTAGACAACATTTTGGATGATGAAGCTTCACTGGCAGATGTAATTTGTGCAAAGGACTTTTCAGCATCATCATCCAAAATGATTCGTACTCTTTTATTAACTAAACTTTTTTCATCTCGTCTTTTATCGATCCATTTATCTAATGTCATATTCTTTTCGCTTTTTTCATTTTCCATTTTACGTTTGCCTTCATGCTCTTTCTTTTCTGTTTGCTTTGCTTTCTTATTGGAAGGTTCTGATATTTTTACGAATGTGCCACCACAAGTTGCCTGATGATTCTCAAACCAGGAATCTGCTTTTTGTGGTTTTCTTTCAGGCATATAATGGCAATTAGGAAAGAACTTATAAACAAAAGAATTTGATTTCAGTAAAAAGAAATACCTGTTCATCGAACGCTTAACTATTCCATAATATGGTGGTTTATGCTGACATGGTCCCTAAAATTTATGTCAGATTACGATAATTACACCAAATTTTTTTTCAATTGAAAAATAAATAAATACTCACGTCACATTTCCAAACGTGTGTTTTGTAATAATTAACCTCGTCACGAAAGTTATGATAAACTGTTACATTTGTTCCAGCCAAAGTGTTAATGCGATGCATATGACTATGAAATTCTGGACCGTGTCCAGCTTATAGGAAAAATCTTTTTTAATAAATATGAATCTTAATTATAAAAAGAGATATTTATGAATGTACCTACATCGATCTTGAATATTACGCGTCACAAAAAGATAAGCATGGATCATCTCGTGCATTAATGTATCGATCATGTCCGATCGTGGCCGAAATTTCAATAATGGTTCGCTCATTCTTATACAAATGTAACCACCGTTTCGATACTCACATAAGCCTGCACACTTACAATTAAGAACACATTATTAATGATAAATCACACCGTTTTTTTTGTTTTTAATGAGAATTAAAACAGATTTGCTCGTACCAAAGTCATTTTATTGGACCAACGAACTTCTACTCCATCCAATTTTCCCCAAAAGTATTGTTGGTTAAACGCGAGAAAAAGTCCATGAAGATCAGGGTTGGGATCACATGGATCAAGAACCGTAAATGAATCTATATAAGTACGAAAATTGAACAACTTTATAAAATTTACAACACCTTTGGACGAATTTTTACTTCACCTGCATTATCTTTTTTAGAATCTTCAGCTTGCAACTTAAGTGCCAATTCTAACGATTTTGAATCTTCTTGAAACAAAAGATATTCATTTTTCTCTTCCTCTTGCAACCTTTTGGCAATAATTTCGTCAGTATTCTCCTCACACAATGTCTGTCTAGAATTGCGCGCGTTTTCCATGACAAATTCTTTAATTTGAGATGAATTTGATTGGACGGATGGTCAAAGTTTTACCGGTATTTGATGCTGGCAGAATTGATGATCAGCATTGATCGTTTCTTTGATATATATAAAATGACAATTCCTTCAAAATCTCAAGACAAAACGGAAGAACAAGAATCAGCTTCACCTTCCCACGCTGAAGATGACAGTCTAGACGACACAATACCACCACCACCACCACCACCTATAACACTACCGAATTTTACAAATTTTAGAAATATTTATATAAATCCGATCACCCTTCCTTCTACTATACCACCAAATAAGGACGAGAATGGAGAATCTTCACCACCACAACCAAAATGGGATGAATTCTGTATTCAATGGTGTAAACAAAAGGATTTAAATCGCGATAAAACTATTGTACCGGAATGCCACATGCTATGTTTTAGAAGAATTAATGCTCATTTAAAAAATGATCTATTAAAGAAGCAAGTAGTAGTTAAAGAAGAATTAAATCATAAGAAACATCAAATTGAAAATGTTGCTCAAGTATTATATAACAAAACCGAAAATGAAGGAGATAAAACTGAATTGAAGGTACCAAGAAATTTTATGGATGGATATTATTTATATTACATAAAAGGGTTGGAATTATGTCAGAAACATACTGAAGGTAATAATAAAATTTATTATGGTTTCTAATGATCTTAATTTACATGATCGAATTCTTCTTAGGTATGAAGAATGATGAAATGTACCGACTTGGATGGACACAAAATAATCCGTAAGTATTGTTAGTGAATGAATATATATGTGTTATATATAGATAACACTTCATTTATTTGTAGAGAAGAATCTGAAATAGACCTTGGTGAAAAATTTGAACAAACTAAGTCAGAAAGTAGTTACTTTATTTATTTTTTTTTACATTACCTCCTTTTGTTCAAGTTATTCTTAATGTATTGCAAATCTTTTTTATTTGCAGCAAAACGTATAATAAAACGAGCCTTCACACCTGGTTATCAACTTGCAAAAAGATACGTAGAGTCATGGAAGGATGGAACTCAAACTTCTTTTTTTAAAAGATTTTATGAAAGCGTACAGCGTATGGATGCTGTTCACATTGTACAGGATAATATAAAAAAAGCTGTAGAGGTTTGGATTAATGATGATGATGATGATGATGGAGGAATTGGTAGAAAACCTAACGGGAATAATGGGAATAACAGAGGTGATGGTGATGGTAACAATTATAATGGAAATGGCAAGAATTCTTCCGATGAAATAAATGAAAGGGATGATTGAAGCGGATAGAATTAAACTTCTTTTTTTTTTAAAAAAAAAAAAGTGGGTAATGCTTTAAAGTAAGATACGGACAGGTATTCATATACGCGTTTTAATATAATAATTTTAATTTTCAGCAAGAGGAATAAAGTTTCAATGAATGATTTTCCTAATTTTAATAAAGGAAAAAAGGTGTAAAAGTAAAGTGTTGGAATGCTAAATAGTGAACAATGATCCAATTCCCATCTAAATTCCCTCCCTTTGAATGCTTTGAGTATATTTCTTCGCGACAGAAAGTTGTCTTCGATTTTTTTTAATTAGGGGAAGCCGTATCACATTTGAAACAAGTTATTCTAGATTTAAAATTAAGAAATTTACAATTTGGACATGTCCAATCACCTTCTACTTCAATAGGAGGATTAGGGGAAGGAGTCTCACATTTAAAACAAACTGTTCTAGATCGAAAATTATAAAAGTCACAATTGGGGCATACCCAATCGCCTTCTGCAACATTACGAACTTCTGGTTTTTCACCACAATTCTTACATGAACTTCTAAAAGAGAAATTATTATAACCACAACCTTTACAAATCCAATCACCAGGTCTACTATTATCAACTCCATAATTCAAATTTCGTTGTCCATAAATATTACGTCTTCTCAATTCTTGAACCTTTAACAAAAATAAATTATTTATATATACAAAAAGATTTACATGACAATATGAGCAAAAAAAAAAATGAGTTATATATTGTACCATGGTTAATGTTGGTAAAATCCTCATTCCAATAGTTTTACTAAAGAAAGTATTGTTATTACTAGGTACAAAAATTCTTTGACGAATAAAATTATTTGACACCATTGATTTTTGAAGTAACGAAATATTTCTTTGTATGAATTTTGACATTTTGATTAGACGTGTAAAAAGAAAAGTGATGAAAAAAATTTTCTTTTTTAATCAATCAGTATTCTGGTTAAATTGAAATGAAAAAAAAAAAAGTAACCAATCATATCGAAGTTACAATTGATGACGCATGCACGATTAAAATTCACGCGTTCTTGTATAGGGAAAAATAAGTTATATATCAATATATACTGTATTAGTTAAAGGTAGAGGGTTATGTCGATAGGTGCGTGATAATAGCCTGTTCAAGCTAAGTATGGATATTTTTCTCATAGCATCATCATATGTTACAACCCTCAACGAAAAATTTTTTTTAATGCTTCGTTATGTTAGAACAAATATTATAAAAATTTTTTTCTGTAGATCGACATCATATATGCATATAGAAATGATCTTCATAAACGTCAACTACTTATATTTATTACGTATCAAAAAGTTTCGAGCTTCTTTTCTACAACTCATATTGACAAGACAAAAAAAAAAAAAAAAAATACTGTTTTATTGACGAACTTTATTAACGTTTAATATTTTTTTATGTTATTTAGAAACGCCAGCAAGGACGTGTGTATACATTTTTTTTTTTTTATTTTTATTAATAATATATATGTACGTTTTTTTTTTTATCAAATAGCAAACGGGCGGGAAAGAGTGTGGGCTGGGGCATAGCTGGGAGTGGGTTTAATTACTAGCTGATAACTAGCAGAGATCTGGCAGTGCGCCAAGTTTCGCTACCAAGCTGAAGGTATGGAGGCTTGACGGTAACCTTGGTGAGGGATCTGCTTCTTCTTTGATGTGGAATTAGCTATGCTTCCCTTACGGACCAATCATATTGGTACTCGAGACCGATAAAATTAGTCACAAGGCCTGTCATGCCTCTTGCACGATCTTCTAATATTTCAATAATCTTGATTTATAAGAATCGCATTTAAAGTTTCAAACCTTTATATTGCGTCTAATCAGAAGAAAATTTTTTTCTTTTGATTTGGATTTGGCCTTCAAATAGTTTGGCGTTTTATCTTTGCCTTCGCTATGTGTGTGATCTGATTTTGAAATTTTCAAAGAAATTTTCAAAATCTATCATACAGGTGTGATAGATTCTATCAATTCTCTGCCGCACTACTCTTATGGATTAATAATCGTTCTGGCTTCTCGATTCAACAAGCCACTACCGTCGTAAGTTGATTTTATTTATTGCTTTCTGATCTTTGGTCTTGTCATATGAGTTGTACAATTGTCCTCGTATAATTATGGTATTGTTAATGTAATAGATAAATATGTATAATTAAATAAAGTTTCCATGCTTTTTTAAAATTATTATAATGTAAATAAAGTTTCTATTGGCGCGGTAAATTTTAATTTCTTTGATTTAAGTTTTCAATTGCACAATACTCGTGTAATGTTTATTCTTTAAAGTCCACATTATCATGGTTGATCGCTGATCGCGATCATCAAGGGCGATCAAACAAGCTTGTCTTGATGGGATTTTATTGATAACATTGTTACAAAATTTAAACATTTCTAAATTCTTTTTTTTAAAAAAAAAAGATGATCAAAATAAGATCATAATTAAGATTAGTAACATTTGTAATTTTTCACTTTTATAAGTAATGAAAAACGTAAGAGATGTGACACAGATGATAAATTATTGAAGTCACGTGGATTATGAGAGGCCTAGTTGCTTTTAAAAAAAAATTTTTATTTATATTGGATTCTCGGAATATAACGGATCTCAATAGTTGAACCTTTCAAAATCTCAAATATCTTATTTCGGATATATATCTAGTTTATCTGAAAATTGGATAGAAGATATCCGTGAACTTTGAAAATTTTGTTTTAAATATTTGAAAATGATCAGCTTAAAGAATTCACTCTTTCGTTCAATAAAACCAAAGTTGCAGCCCAGTAAGTTAATGATACATTCTTTACGTAATGCAGGCACTGTGATATTAATTTGGAGCAATATTTTTTTTTAGCATTACAAAGAGGCTTTACTTATAGTGCTGTTCGGGCTGTTAGCTATGAAGATACCGTTAAAAATATGCTTATAACTAAAGACACTCGTGTTATATGCCAAGGGTTTACCGGAAAGCAGGTTAGAGCTATTTTTTTGGTACTAATTGTTTTTGCTGTCAGATTAAAAAGGTTCGCGAATTGTAATAACGCGTTTCAAACAAATTCTAATTTTGAAATTGATTCACTATAATTGATATTTATGATCGAATTCAGGCTTTTAAATTAATTTGATTGGTTTTTTGCTTTCTCGTATGAATACTATCAATAGGGAACCTTCCATTCAGAACAAGCAATTGCTTACGGTACTAATATGGTAGGTGGTATTTCACCCAAAAAAGGTGGACAAACTCATTTGGGATTACCAGTTTTCAATACTGTAAAGGAAGTAAGTAATGATGGGAAATTATTTAAGAATTTTTTTTTTTTTATCTTATTAAAAGATTCTGTGTTGTAGTTAATAATATTATTGTTTGATTAGGCAGCTAAAGAAATAAAACCGGATGCTACAGTAATTTACGTGCCACCACCAGCTGCGGCTGCAGCAATTTTGGAAAGTATTGAAGCCGAAATTCCTTTGATCGTTACTATCACTGAAGGAATTCCACAACGCGATATGGTCAAGGTGCATTGTATACTTTTTAAAATATATTATTACGTAAATTATATTAACTCGAGTGAAAAAAAAAATGATAGGTTGTGAAAGCATTGAAATCTCAAAATAAAACACGCCTTATAGGACCAAATTGCCCTGGTATTATTGCACCAGAAGCGTGTAAAATAGGAATTATGCCAGGTCATATTCATCAAAAAGGTAAGGTTGGTATCGTTTCGCGTTCAGGAACTTTAACTTATGAAGCCGTCAATCAAACAACCCAAGTAAATCTTGGACAGACTTTATGTGTGGGTATTGGAGGTGATCCATTTAATGGAACTAACTTTGTAGACTGCTTAAAATTATTCTTGGAAGACGAAAATACGAAAGGTTTGCATTTAATAAAAGAAAAAGAATTTTATATAAGAATTTTATTTTTACAAGATCAATATCATTTTCTCTCGTATTTAGGTATCATATTGATTGGAGAAATTGGTGGAACTGCTGAAGAAGAAGCAGCAGAATATTTGAAACAGCATAATATGACTCGTAATCAACCAAAACCTGTAGTATCTTTTATTGCAGGATTAACTGCACCACCAGGTCGTAGAATGGGACATGCAGGAGCTATTATAGCTGGTGGTAAAGGTGGTGCCACTGATAAAATCAAAGCATTAGAAAATGCCGGAGTAGTTGTATCAAAGAGTCCCGCCAGACTTGGCATTCATTTAAGAGAAGTAAGAAATGTTTGTTATTTTTTTTTTTTTATTAATTTAAATTTAATTTATCTAATTTATATTTTTATTAATTAGGAAATGGAAAAGGTCGGATTAGCTTAAATTTTATTTACATTTTTATTTTCTATATATTATTTACAAATTTACAAAATGTTTTAAGTTAATGAACGATACACGATAAAATACGTAAAATATATTTATATAGAATCATCAATGCAAGGAAAAAAAAAAAAATAATATATATTAATAATAATAAAGTCTTTACAAGTTGGATTTACTTATTTATTTAATAAGTTCTTTTCTGAAGCTTAGTAAAACTTCATATTCTCAAAATAATCACTTTATTCAGAAAGGTCCATATCAATATCTTCTTCAACATTCGGAATCTCGATATTGTTGTATGGATTACTTTTTTTCATAATTTGATCTTCAGATCTCTGCTGTATTTGTTCAGATAAAGAAGGTATTGAAAATGGGACATTCTGACATGGCAAGAATGATGCATTATGTACAGGCGATTGTTGAGAATCATTAAATGTTCTAGCTAAAGGTATTATCCCGGGAGGCGGAGGATACGTCTCTAAACTACTTATTATCCAAGAAGAAGGAGGTTGTTGAAGTTGTCCTAGATTACTTGTAGTTCCGGGAGGCGGTGGTTGCTCTATATTGTTATTAATTGTATGTGGTGGCTCTTGGTAATTATACCACAAATTGCATGCATTCCCCGAATATCCATTATTATACCAATCAGGCATAGTCCAATGATATTGATAATAACCTTCGGTATTAGTAGGGTACCATGCAGAATGTCCTTCAACATTAAATTTTGGTAAATTATTATTATTTAAATTACTTTTACTAATAGTCTTGTTGGTCTTTTCAAATTTGGAGAAATCTAAATCTAATCCGGGATAATAAACTAATGGAAATTTCTTATTTTTTTCTTGTTGAGGCTCCTGAGTATTTTTGGTTTCCTGATCTATAATGTCATTTTTGTCGTTATTGATACAATTCTCCACTACTTCTGATGATGAATCTTTTTCATTCTCTGAATTGTCAGAATCATCATCTGTTGAAACATCACCATAAATTTTTAATGTTGCGGAATTCCAATTCTCTAATTCCAATTTAGATAATCTGTCTTTTTTAGATTTCAGAGGATCTATATATAAATATAAAAAGATATAAGATTAACAATCCCTTTTAAAAAGAAAGAAAAGCATGAAATCTTTCCTTTATTTACCATCACCCACTTTATCTCCCCAATACCCAGGAGGATATCCAAAGACTCTCATCCTCTTATAATAAGGAGGCTCATCACCACTTTCCAATATCCCTAAAGCATGTTTTAAAGCATCACTTATAACGCCTGGGGAAAAAATATTAAAAATAAGATCTTTTTCATATTCAATATAATATCTACTATTAAATTGTTGTTGACCACCAATACTATTAAACTTTTCTCGGTTTATTTTAATTAATTCTTGATTTAAAGGTAATTGACAATCGTTATATGAATGATGTGGTGACAAACAATTAAAACATTTTTTTACTGATATTATTAAACTAGAACATTATTAATAAAAGTAATTAGCAAATCATTTATTTATTTATTATTATCTTTTTTTTTTTTTAAAAAAAAAAAAAGAAACAAAAAAAAAAAAAAAGAGGTATTTTTCATACCTTTTGTCCACGTTGTGATCAAGATTATTTATTTCATCGTCATCATTTTGTTCCACTTCCTCGTAACTAAGTATACAATTGGTACCTCTTTCATAAATGATTGAATTCTCATTAATAAAATAATAATCATCAAAATTCAACAATGTTTCATTTTTAACTTTACTTTTATAATTATCACTCCTGGTATCAATTATTATCGCAAACACATCGTCTTTCTTTCCTTCTTCTTCCCCACTTATTATCTCATTATTATTATTATCCTTTTCATTTGTACTTTTATGATCAAGATATATTATAGTGTCCTTTTTAAAAGGTACCAATGGTTCGATATCTGATAAACCATCATAACCCTGAGAGTCATGACTTTTTTGTGGTAAGATTGAATCATATGGAGTATACTTCAATGGTGGTTGCACGTGTGTTGAAGATAATATTTTATTTTTTAGTGAAAATTTCGCATCCTTTAATGGTTTGAGTTGCAAATTATTACCAAGCATATTCCATGAAGGATAATTTTCTTTGCAGTAATTTTCTTGTACTTGAGTGACTTCCATTAGAACAATGTGAATGTCTAAGAAATGAAAAAGAATTTGTTGGAAGAAAAGTTTCTTTATGCATTTATTTCGTCACTCAAGATCACACCAATCACGTGATATTGACTCATAACTAAATGCAATTTAAAAAAAAGTTTAATTTCTCAACTTTAATTATTATAAAAAAAAAAAAAAGGTTTCAGAAGTAATGCTCGATAATTTAGTAGAAAGTATATAAGTAAACTTATTAAATAGATTATGTAATCGTGATTTCTTAATTCCAACACCATTTTGACTGCGGGAGAATTGATTTTAAGTATCATATAATTTTTCTTTTCTGTAGTTCGATATCAAAAATGGTTTTGTTTCTTTGAACATCACTAAATGAAGGAATACTTTCCATTGCGCCAAGTCTACTAACAGTCAGACCTGCTGCGACGGTAGCCTCTTTCAATGCATTTAGAAAACCTTCCGCTGTTGGTAAATTCATAGAAGAATTGACATCTGTGATAAGAATGGATCCATCATTTTTCAGTTCTCGAACTATACAAGTTATAAAATATCCTGCAAATGTATCGCCTGCCCCTGTCGTATCCAAAACTTCCGTTTTAAATGCAGGAAGGTTAAACATTCTATGTTCTGGTCTATACCACGCGTATAGTCCTTCACTTCCGAAAGTGATGATTATTCCAATAAGTTGTTGATACTCATTTGATATAAATGTAAGTAAATCCTGTGCAGAAATATTTTTGTCATCGCAATTCGATTCACTTATTTGTTTATAAAGCTGAAAAGCTTCTAATTTATTAACGATTAAATAATCTACAAGATTAAATGAAAATACTGTGATGATATTTTCAGAAATTGGTGCTGGATTGAAAACAATCGTGAGCCCTAAAAATATAAAAATATAAATATAAATATAAATATAAAGATATAAAGGAATATGAAATGAAAAGAGCAAGGCTGATATGACATGAAAATGGCGTACCTTTTTCCTTGCAGAGTTTTAAAATTTCGCCTCCAATTTGTCCAATTTCATTTTGCATAATAACCCAATCTCCTATTCCAAATTCCCGGTCTAAAATTTTACTTGCTTCGTTCAAACTAATCATGTGATTTGTTCCTGGAAGAAGAACAATAGAATTATCTCGCGTTTCTTGAGAAATTTGGATAAAAGCGCGTCCCGTTGGCTAGAATAAAAAGTTTAAGTCAGACAAAGATTATTCACCTTCTTCAATTTTATTTTATTATTTTTTACAAAATACCTGATCTTCCGAAATAATTATATGATCCACCTTAACTCCAAATTCTTTCATATATTCCTTGATCCATGTGCCATCACGTCCGATTTTCCCTGCATGCCATACGAATGCACCCGCCTAGAAAAATACTCTTTATTAGAGAAATTTCGTCACAAAATCTGGTAATCAAAAAACATTTAAATTCAAACTTTGGAACCTTTGCTAAAGCAACTGATTGATTTGCACCTAAATTGTGTAAAGAAAATCAATAACGAAAGTATAGATTAAATTACAAAATGAATGATATACCTTTTCCTCCAGCTTTTTGAGAATATTTACTGCTCGTTATAGTTTCTCCACTTGAAACTATATGAGGAACTTCGAAAAACTCGTCCTAATTAATTTAAAGCAAACAGAAGTTATTCTCAAAGTTACCTAATTTCAAAAGCAGAGTATTGTACTAACAATATTGATAGAACCAAATGTCAAAACTTTAGGCCCTTCCATTAGATAAATAATCAACGGAACATTCAAATTCAATTAATATTTATGTATGTTGATCATTTATTTATTCGGATTCATAGTGAAAATGCGCAATTAATTACTGGTATCATGTGACTTAGGATTAATCATATCAGTATTACATATCTCTGAACCTTATGTGATCAGTATTACATATATAATTTTTGTTTTTAAAACCAGAACAGAATAAGATTCCCCTTGTTTTTTAACTTTGTATTGTAAATAAATTGGGAACTTAATGATAAGTTTTCGCATTCACAAAAATATAATCCTTTCATTAGCAATTCTTTATACGATATAATGGAACAAACAGAACAATACCACCACTACATTCCGAGATTCCTTCTACGTAACTTTGCTATTGACAATTATGAGAGGATATTTGAGAGCAACATAAACCAGCAGAAAAAGAAAAGTCAGAGGAAAGTCGAGCTTATCCAAACTTACGTTAGAGAGGAAGATCAACTGCGCGTCTCTTTTATTAGTAAAACCTATGGAAGAACAAATATGTACAAAGATATCAATAATGAAGACGCGATGCACGTAGAAGCAAAACTATCTAAACTCGAAAGAAGTGTATCAGAGACGATTCGAAATATTGTGAAAACATCTCAAATGGAAAATCAGGTCGTTTTGCTTAGGAAAGATCTCGAAGATTTACGCAAGTTCATCTTCATTATGAACTATCGAAACAGTCAGCGATATTTTCAGTATGCTAACGATAAATTTGATATCCCCACAAAGTTGATGGTAACAACTTTTATGCAGCAGCACAATTTACAAAGACCTGCAGAAGTATGGTTACAGAACATCCGCGAAATATTAGAAAGATAACGAGAAAATCTTTGACCTAGATAGGGAAGACTTCAAGCATCGCATGATCGATAGTTTTCTCATCATTTGGCAGGCTGGTGAAAATGACGAGTTTATAATAACCAGCAACGGATTTGGAATCTTCGAAGGAGTAAATGGGATGGTTTTTGGGAAATTCCCATTTCAATATGCTTACCATTCGTTTTACGTCATTTCTCCAAAATTGGTGTTGGTCCTCTGCCCTTCTGGGTTTCGAAAAGAAGTTGGAACAGACCATTTATATAACCATTTTGGTCATCGCTCGATTTTTGATAACGTTCCTCATCCATCAGCAACTCCGAAATATGTTGGCACTGGCAATAAACCATATAATGAACATAACCGACCGAAATACAACGGATCTGACCTATTTGAATTGCGAGCTCACTTATTTAAAATGAACCTAAATAGCATGGGTATCGAAATGCAGCCGAACGACACATTTACCTTTCCCTTTGTCAAAATCAATTCGGTCACCGTTCACCTCATAAACTCTGTCTTGCTCAATGAGGTTAATTCCGACTTAGTTTTGACTTTCCTTTCTTGTTCGTACCTCTATAAAACAATTGTCAAATACCATAAAAACAAGATTGTTGGTGTACAACATGATTTTTCGAATTTGAAAAAGAAGTTGTTCACGGAATTGAACAGAACTCACAAGGATGACTTGCATCTTCGGAAAAACATTGCGGTCGACTGGATATATAGTTGGAATGTACGAGAGATGAATAAGAATCCTGATTAATATTAACCACTCGAGTGGATGTTGTATATATTATTCATTTTTGGGAATATGTTGTGAGGTCTAACATGATGACCTTGATCACTTACAACTTGAACAAATGTATAGTTTTCTTATTATTGAACGTCTTAAGGTTCCTGCAATCGTTTCACCAATTTAAATATACTTTTCTTAGTTATGTATAACTTTGATATTTGATTTATTAAAATTGATTGCACTTGGGAAATAAAAATAAAGAACATTGAATTTCATATAAAATTTATTTTAACTTTATACTATTTAATAAAAAACTAATGTATATATTTAATTAGTCCGGAGCGTAAGCGAAGGACTATATGGGTGTATTCACAAATTCAATTAGATTGGATTGGATTGGATTTTCTAATCCATTTAGATTAGATTGGATTTTCATAT